TTTTGCAAACTACTGTATATACTCGACTATAAGGCAGTCTCATGTATAAGTCGAGGGCAGGTTTTGAGGCCAAAATTATGGATTTTGATATGACCCATGGATAAGTCAAGGGTAAAATGTAAGATCATGTAACAAAGGATCTAAAGGGTGAAGCAAAGGAAGACAATGCCAAAGAACTTACAAAATTGCAGGAGCACAACAGTTTGTATTCGCACTGAAGGACGGACGAAGGGGTAGAGGAGGGGGGTCAGTATTTCCAGGAAAGATTACACTCCTGCTTTTATTTCACCAGGGGATGGTTTCTATTTTTATGAGAGTTAAAATACAGTACTTACATTGATCCATGGATAAGTCGAATCAGATTTTTTTGGATCATTTTCTGACTAAAATGTATAGACTTATAGATGAGTATATACAATATAAGATTTTTAATTATTATTTTTGCAAAAATAATCCCTTCAAGGTGTTTTGCAGGACAAAGGGTTTTTCTTTAATGTAATGGGGGAAAAAGATGTGCAAGAACACTTGTTCTCCCTGCCCAGTAGGGAGAAAACTTTTGATGCTATTTGTTCTACCATGAAAGAACAAAACAAGCAAAGATTTACATCCCTACTGTGAACACGGAGCTGTCAGCATCCACCTCTCTTTGGAGCTGGCGCACGCCGCTTGCTGGCAGTCCACGGTTGGCAGCCGAGGCAGTGCCGAATCTCCCTTTCTGCCATCTGGGAGATCGCTGAGCATCCCACGTTGCAGGCCCCAATTACCGACCTGGACCCATCCTCCTCCTGCAAGTATTTTAATTGCACTATTGACAGGAACTCGGCTGACAGATCGAAGAAAGATATTTTTTTTCTTTCCGCCGTCTCTTTCTCATTTTTACCCCTTCACCCAGCTTCCATTCATTTCACCAGGAATTTGGAGAATTTGGAATTTGAGTGTAAAGGTAGGAAGCCATTGCAGCACTCAAAGGGAGAAGAGCAACTGGGAAACATCAGAGCAGCAAACAAAGAAAGGTAGCTTTCCATTCAAAAGAAAGAAGGGAATGGTTTAAGGTGTATCGTCAGTCCCCAACAGCAGTATCAGCAACCTGGCAGACCTTGGAAGATCTAAAAACACAGAAGGGGTTTTATTTTCTGTGGTCAAACTGAAGAATGGCTTTCCTTGCTCCCTCCAACCCTTCCTCAGAGCCATCCCATATATAAGTAATCTCAGACACTAAATATGGAGAGCCCCCATTAAAGAAGGGGTGGGCAAAGTATGGCCCTATACAACCCTCTGAGGATGCTTTTGTGGTCCTTGACAACCTACAGAATCCCCCAACAGATTCCTATTTTGCCAAAAAGAGGGTGAGTTGCACCCTCAAGAAACCTCTGGGTGCAACAATTCACCTTTTAAGCCAACTGCAAGGTCTCCTTCTGCTGCTTAACATTACAAAAATACCAACAGCATCTGTAATGGTGAGCCCTTTCGAAACTGGCAAAGCTGCAAATTTCATCACAGCTGGACTCCAGGTCTGAAGTTCTGTTAAGCAAAGTAAAGTTGACTTCAGTCATGTATTTTGGCCCTGAAGCAGATTTTGGATTTGCGTATAGGCTGAATGAATGCCTCTTCTGGTTCGTCTCACAGTATCTTTCAGTGTTTCTTTTCTTACTCAAATTCTGTTTTAAGTAGGAAGCCTTCTTGAGTTTGCATCCATAGGTTGAAAGCCAGGAAAATATTTTGCGGTAGGTGATTTTACAGCATAAGTGAATTCACATTAGAGTTGTCAGATCTCAGTCTCCAGTTTTCATGGATCACCTCCAAGCAGAAGACAAAGGTACCAATTCTCCAGTTTTGCTGGGCTTAGCTCTGAAAGAAAGGAAAAGGCAGTGTGCAATGCTCCAGCTCAGCTAATAGAGCAGCACTTTGGTCTGTAATACATATTTGATTTATTGCGGCAATAAATTCAGGGAGCCTATGTATTTACTTAGTTAGCGTCCTCTTTCCCTCCCAGTTCTTGTGGTGCCAGGATTTACCTTCTGCTCTGCATCCATGCCTAGAAGCAAGGAGCTTATATTAAATGTTCCTTATCTCATCTCCCTAAGTAAGTGAGAAGGAATAGTTTTCTGTGGGTTTTTCGGGCTGTGCGGCTGCATTCTGGAAGAATCCATAATGTGACCTCACAGCCTGAAAAACCCACCGAAAACTGTGGATGCCAGGTGTGAAAGCTTTCGATTTCACATGAGATGGAATAATTCCCTCATTTCATCATGATTTCAGAGCAGCCCCTCAGGGAAGATTTCTGCCTTAATTTCCAGATAAGAAAGTAGGTTTGGGTCTCTGTATGTGTGTGTTTGAATGACAAGCAGTGAACAATTGTGGTTGGTACTTAATGGATGAGAGCCAGTGTAGCATAGTGGTTTGAGCCTTGGACTATGACTCTGGAGACCGGGGTTCGATTCTCAGCTTGGCCATGAAACCTACTGGTTGACCTTGGGCAAGTCACACTATCTCAGCCTCAGGGATAGGCAATGGCAAATCTCTCTGAATAAATCTTCCAAGAAAACTCCATGATAGGTTCACCTTAGGGTCGCCATAAGTTGGAAATGACTTGAAGGCACATAACACACACTTAATGGATAGCACTTAATGATATCATTGGGGCTGTCCTTCTATCTCAGGTTTTGGCCAGGAAACCCCAGGGACAGCCTGAGGCAATCCATAATTCACATACAGACCTAAATTGGTCTATGGCCATAAATAATTATCCACTCCTCATTTAGACCAAGACGTAAAGGTGCATTTTGGTACCCAGCTCCTGGAGAATCAAGACTCTCCTTCCCTTCCTCTTTTCTTGGCAGTCCTCTGGGATACCAAAAACCTACTCCAAGGAGGTCTGCAGCCCCACAGAACAGGAGTTGAGGGTGTCCAGGGGTCTTCAGGAGGGACAGGAGATTACCAAATCTGGGGAAAGCATTGGGATCCAGCAGTCTGCATCACCAGATTCTGGCTTCAACATGACAAAGGCTGTATTTTTATAAGTTTTGTGGGACAACAGGGTCCGTTTTTGGAAATGCATCCTGCAACACAGTAACTTCATCTCATTTAATTATGAGCTAATTTTTAAAATCTCCTCTGCCTCGTTTAAGCAGTGCAATACTGATTCCTAGCTGCAAACTTGTCTGGCCGCTGACATTTTCAAGCCAATTAGCAGGCGCTGAGCTTTCCTCCCTCCCCCGGTCATCATGGATTTTAATGAAATCAATCCAGAGTGAAATCAAAGCTTCTACTGTACTCTTGCTTCTTGCACTTGTAGTTTGAGAGCCAGCCCTTCCCCCTTTTCCATTATGACTCCTTTAATGAAAAGGAAAATATTGTGAGGTCTTTCTATGCATCCAATATCTCTCTTTGCTTATGCATCCGATTCATCGACCATGCATTCACCTGGGCACACCTGTAATACAGGGTAAACGGCATGTGAATATTCAGGTATATGGCGAGCACAAAGGGAACCAGTTTTATTTTCATCTCCTCCGTCGAAACCTCCCCCTTTCAGTTCTAAAAGCAATGGAACAGTCCACTATTTCAACTCTCATCCCCGAGAGAATTCTGCAGTTGAGAAAACTGGTTGAATTTGATTAAACCTTTGGATCGCCTCCAATATTTCCAGCTATTCCATCTGTAGAAAACACTCTCCTGCCACTTGGCACGCTGGTCGCATTAGCTGCCTTCTAAACCAGCAGCAGTTCTGCCTAATAATTTGGCATTTGCATGCTGCCTTGTAAATTACAACCCCTTGCATCCTTTTGGTAGTAGGAAGAGCCTCCCCTGGCTCTCTTTGCCGAAAACAGAGGCGTGGCCGGCAGGGACAAAAACTGGAGAAAGAACATGTCTTTCTGCAAATGTGTGGCTTATGAAAATGAACGCAGGAGGGGTGGGACAGGTTGGAGAAGTTTAGCATAATGAAGGCATACATGGGAAATGAACTTCACTCTTCCTCTTAGGCAGGGAGAGAGAAAAATGCAGCACACAATGAGACCTGCTGCTGCAAACACTGCATTGTGTGTGGAGCTCTTCTGGTTGTTGTTGACGCCTGTCAGTTTGTGCCAAGAGACAATCGGAGACCGTGGCTGCCTCACTAGCGTTGAAAACAAGGGGGGGGGTTGTTTGGTGCAGGAGAGATTCCCAAGAGATGTTTGTTCTTCAAAGCTTTCTCAGCCTTTCTTTATTGCATACACACACACACACAGACAACCCTGGAAACTGCTGCAAGGGTTGAGCCACACGATGCAGAATTCTTCCCAACAAGGCAACCCTTGGTCAGAATTAAGAGTTCAACCTGTGTGCATGTGTCACCATCACGGGTGATAAACGTGTGGGTGGCCTTGGGCAAGTCACAGTCTCTCAGCCTCAGTGGAAAGCAATGGCAAACCTCCTCTGAACAAATCTTGCCAAGAAAACAAGAAACAGTATCGAGTAGTGGCTTGAGTTGCTGGACTAGGGTCTAATCTGTATTGCAAAAATAATGCCGTCTGACACTGATTTAACTTCCTTAACTCAACGCTGTGGAATTTGGGGATTTGTAGTTTTGCAAGATATTTTGCCTTCTCTTCTTGAGATATTTTGCCTTCTCTTCTTGACAGAGAGCTCCAGTGCCACAACAAAGTACAAATCCCAGGATTCCACAGGATGGAGTCATGACAGTTAAAGCAGAGTCAAACTGCATTATTTTTCCCAGATTAGACAAGGTTTGAAGCCCGACTCAAACAAGGGGACCCAGTGGGTGACCTTGTTCAAGTCCTACTCTCTCGGCCTCAGAGGAATGCAAAAGCAAACCTCATGTAGCCCAAAACCCTATGATGATGTTGTTGTGTGCCTTCAAGTTGTTTCCAACTTACGGCAATCCTAATGCAAACCTATCATGGGTTTTTCTTGGCAAGATTTGATCAGAGGCAGTTTGCCATTGCCTTCCTCTGAAGCTGAGAGCATATGACTTTCCCAAGGTCAACAAGTGGATTTCATGGCCAAGCTAGGAATCGAACCCTGGTTTCCCAAGTTGTAGTCCAATGCTCAAACCACTATGCCACACCGGCAATCACAAAAACCCTATGGTAGGGTCACTATAATCAGAATTGACTCAAAGGCATAAAACAAGAACATATCTTTAGATAATTAGCAGCCCTCAAAACATGGGAATCTGCCCTTCAGTCCCAATCTACCTTCTGCTCCCATCTGGGATAAAATCTGGATGCACCTCATCCCTTTATCTCTATCCGTCCAAAAGGTAGGAGGAATAACAACAATGAATTCTGGTGGCAGAATCTGGTTGAGCTGGAAGGAAAAAATGCAACTGACTACTAACTGCAGCAGTAAACATTTGTGGCTGGCCATGAACTACTTTGATCAATGCTCTAAAAATATTAAGCATTATGATGATTACTGCTATTGGGGAAGCAGAGGAAATATAATTTTATCTTACCATTCCTCCCCTCCTCGCTTCATTCTTTTAATGCCTTTTCTTTTTAAATAGATACATGTGCAGATAAACGGGGGGGGGGGGGGGGGGGGGGGGACCCTGACAAATAGATGTTATCTGCTTGCTTCCCATAACTGGAAGGCAACATGAGACCAATGCATTCAATTATAAAACAACAGACGCCTAAATTGTGAAAGCAGAACATGAAAGCAGCCTTAAGGAGGTGTATTTGTTTGTGTCAGAAAGGGAGAATGGTTGCACCAGGAATATACAAAACCTTTTCAGTCGTAACTGTGGCTATTTCCAAACCGCACTTTGCTCCGATTATCTGGAAAAGCCAATATTCAGCTTTTTGTCATACACTAAGAATCTCTAAATTGCTCGCTTGTATGTTAACTGCAAGTCCCAGCATGCACTGTACATTACACTGGGATTTACCAACATTTACCAGCAGAGAGACAATTCAAACACAAGTAGGTAGCCTTGTACCTTGAAGTTTTAAAAATTCAGACAAACACACAATGGTTATTAAAATGATTTTGAAGAGACATTATAGGGGTTGGGGCGGGAAACTAATTGTTTTCCATTAAGATGCACTAATGTGGTTTGCACACGTCCTTGGGACTTAACATTGATTGTCAAGTCAGAAGAAACATTTATCAGGTTTTCTTGTTGACATTTAAAAGAGAATGGCAGCCAACTACAGGCTGAGTCTCTCTTTACCTGAAATGCTTGGGACCAGAAGAGTTCTGGGTTTTGGATTTTTTCTGGATATTGGAATACCTGTATTTGTATATACTTACATAATGGAACCCAAGTCTAAGCACAGTTTGCTTGTATGTTTCATGTATGCCATATACACACATACCCCGAAGGCAATTACAGTTGGCCTTCTGTATCCAAGGATTCCTTATCCATGGATTCAACCACCCATGACTTGAAAATCTTTTTTTACAAAAAAAATGTCAGAAAGCAATCCTTGATTCTGCCATTTTACATAAGGGACACCATTTTACTATGCCACTGTATTCAATGCGACTTGAGCATTCATGGATTTTTGGTATCCACGGTGGGTCCTGGAACCAAACCCCACTGTATATATTAAAATAATTTTGTCCATGAAACAAAGTTGGTGTACATTGAACCAACATATAGCAAAGGTGTCACTATCTCAGCCACCCATGAAAAAAGTTTTAGTTTTTGGAGTATTTTGGAATTCTGGATTAAGGAAGACTCAGCCTGTATAATGTAATAGCTGTGCCATACATCTTCCCCATCATAATGAAGTGATGGATAGAGGAAGAGCAACGTGTTACACAACTGTTTGGTCTGCACAGCAAATTCCAAGAGCCAGTTTAGCTTCCTTTAACCCACATAGTTCCAGATCTTACGTCCGTCTGGCTCCGCAGCTCTTGATAGAGCAAACTTTCCTCTCTTTCTCTGAGGGAACAGAGATCTCTCTCTCTCTGCAGCCCATGTTCAGCCATGCATACAAGGCTGGCTGGCTTCTCAGCAGAGGAGCAAAAGGGCAAATGAATCACATTACATGCCATGAATAAAGGCCCAGGCTTAATGCACAAGCTGCTTGATGGCCACATTTTCAACAGGCTGGCTAAAGCATCGTTTCATTTCCAAACTGGTTCTCTCTCTCTCTCATACACAAAACCCAAAAGAAGAGCTGGAAGAAATCTCCACACTTCTGATGGAAGCCAGGGGCAACCAAAGTGTGGTCCTGGGGCCACGGCCAGCCCCCGCTGCTGATTTTGTGGCCCTCCATCCGCTCTTCCCCTGACTCCAATGTACTTTCTCTGGATAAAAGAAGGGTGATCTGCTTCTGGAAGCCTCTAGGTGCAGCAATTCACCTTTTAAATAGGTTGCAGAGGTGGGCAGACATTTACTATTTTAAAAGGGCATTTTTCAAAACAAGAAGGGGACTTCCATATTAGATGGGATATTATACTGAGGATGGGGGAAGCTTGTTTTCTGCTGCTCCAGAGAAAAGGACATGGAGCAATGGATGCAAATTACAGGAAAAGAGATTCCACATAAATAGTATGAAGAACTTCCAGTTGACAAGAGCTATAACCCATAGGAAAGAACAACTATAATCCATAGGAAAACAATCCCATACAGTTCACACCTATTTGTTTCTGCACACAGGACTCAGACCTCCAATTTCTAAGTTGCAAATTCATTTAGACTGCAAGTTTCCTTCCCCATCCCACTCATTGTAAGCCAGCATGATGTTGTGGTTTAACTGTTGGATTAGGACTTCAGAAGACCATCGGGTCAGCTTGGTCAAATTCAAAGACATAGCCATGCTAGTCTGTAGAATCAGTATGTAGAGAGATATTGTAACACTTTTGAGACTAACTGAAAGAAAGGAAGTTGGCAGCATGAACATGAGTCAAGTTTGCCAAACTTCTTCTTAACTCATCTTGCCAAGAGAACCTTATGAATGACTTATTGTTATTTTCTGTCAAGGAGGCTTCAACTTATGGTGACCCTATGAATGAGACCACCAAGACCACCGGTCATCAGCAGCCCTGTTCAGGTCCTGCAAACTCAGGGCTGTGGCTTCCTTGAGTCAACCCACCTGCCGTGTGGTCTTCTTCTTTCCTTACTTCATTCCATTTTACCAAACATTATCATGTTTTCCAATGAGCCATGTCTTCTCATGTGCAATAGTCTCAGTTTAGTCATCTTGGCTTCCAGGGAGAGTTCAGGCTTGATTTACTCAGAGAGCCATTTATTTGTCTTTTTAGCACTCCACAGTGTCCACAGACTCTTCTCCAGTACCACATCTCAGTTGATTTTCTTCCTATCAGCTTTCTTCACTGTCTAGTTTTCTCAATCAAACATAGAAATTGTGAACACTATGACATGGATGATCCTGACTTTGCTGTTTTATGACATATCTGTACAGTCTACCTATGAATGATAGGGTCATCATAAGTTGGAGCCGACTTGAAGGACCAAACAAACAACAAAGAGAAGAACAATCCCTGCTCACTAACAGCCCACTTGCTTACCAAACAATGATCTCGGATCCCACTCAATGCAGATGAATTATCAAGAGGAACTAGGAGCCATTATTATTCTTAAGTCCCCAGAAACACACTGGTGTCATTTTGGGCAAATCACGGTGAAAGGTTCACTCAGAAGAGGGAAATCGGGACGACCAAACTCAAAACACCACAACTTGTTTCACCCCCTAAATTTGTAACTTCTGACATGATTTGTATTTCTTTTTCTCCTAATACTCTGCAGAGACATCTATTGCCTCTGTGTTTCTATCCTCACACACTATGTTCTATTCCCAGGTAATGGCACAAAATTAAGAGCGGATTTCGAAGAAACGTGGATGCACCGGGGGGAATAGCGAGAAACAGGAGGAATGTTTTATCCAGAAGGAGAGGTACGTATGTGTTGAATGAGGAAGGGCAGAGTGTGAGATGACCAAAATGTCAGCTTCTCTTCCAGGTCCCTGAATAACCTCCATCTGTTAGCATTATCACAGTCTTGCAGTTCATTGACATTATGGCTATAGTACATTAGAAGCATCATCACTGAAAGGAAAGGGCAAAATTAATGCACTCTCAGTATCCATTGTAAAGCAAGGGAGGAGCAAAGGAAGGCTGGGTATCCAGCACCAGGTTTGTCAAAGGATTTTTCTCAAGTTCCTCCCATTTTCTTATGCAGTTGTGCCAGAGCTAAAGTGGTGGGATGAGGGCGAAAGCATCCACGGTTTCACGAAGGAAACAGGATGGGAGCAGGTCATTATACCAGCCCCATTCCTCCTGCTTTCAAGAGCCGAGGACAGACATGTTGCTGCTTCGCAAGGGCACTTCAGATGAGCACTTGAGAGCTTTTATCGAAGAGTGGTAAATTCTGAAGCTGTTTTATTTCGGGGTACTAGAAAAGGAAACAATATGGAGACTGAATTCTATGGGGCATAATTCTGAGTATTGCTATCTTTCTTCGGGGCAATTTTTGAGTAGAGAAAATAAACACAATCAGGTCTGTCCTCAGTACAGGAAGGAAGATAGGCCACACAATGGGAGAACCATTAAAGAAGAGCAATTGGGCCACTTTTTATTCTATAATACCAATTTAATTTTCATCTCTTGAGTTGCCTCTTATATTTTAAGTATTCATAAAATGATCTCTATTTTAATTGTATATATGCCACTCAAGGAGTCTGTATAAAAAAAAAGGCAGCATACAAATCCATCAGAATAACAATTCACTTAAGTTCCCTGCCAAGGAAATTCTGCAAGCTATAGTCCAAAAATTGGCCAATAAAGGTATCACTGTTTGGTGGATTTTTGTTTGAATTTGCCAAACGGCCAACACAGCTACCCCTGCATGTAGTCCAAAAATGTAACTTTTTCAAACTAAGGAATAAATCTTAGCCAAGCAACATTAACCAGTTTATTAAGGAAGACCACTTTGCAACCATGCCCAAAAGCACGCAATGCATCCAATGCTGGGATTGCTATATTGGGGAAGGGAGCCAACTTTGCTGGGTTCCAGGGCCATTTTTGTGCCTCTTCTGAAATGGCATGAACAGAAACACCAGAAATTGGGGAGTGGGGGAGAGAAGAGAGATTGGAG